TTTCTTCATGTCCGCAAGCACTCACTGGTGATTGTCGAGCGTTTGATGTGCCCAGAAAGTCATGAGGACATTGCTATCGGTAGGGAGACACAAAATATAGCGACGAGCACAAACTAGCTAGTATTTCCTACGTGGCTGACGCGACATACTATGGCTCTTCCACTTTATACAAATCACGTCTTCGGTACAAATTGCTTGCCTGACGCCAATGCCACTCGCAAGTCGCATGTGGGTTTCCTGACTGACCTAATGTGTTCACCTGCCGTGAGCGTGTTGGTATGAATAGCACTGCATTTTTCAGGAACATGAAACTGGACTGTGAAGGCTCGTTTACAAGTGAATTTGTGAATTCATCTATTTTTAGGATGAAAGCGGCTATAAGCCGTCGTTTCTATCAGATCAAGAACTGAAACATTTAATTCTGGAAGCAGCTAATGGATTTTTATTCGTTGTATGTTGTAATACTGGAAGAATTCTCTATGTTGCCGATTCGATAACGCCGGTGTTAAACTTGAAACAGGTAAATAGTAAAGGAGTACGTTTTTGATGTTTATCAAACTTCCTTGGATGCGCCAGGCATTCCACTTTTATTCAAAATAGAAGTACTATTTTGGATGCTATGAGAACTATGCAATGATGTGCGAGGAAATCGCGGTAGAAATCCGTGCTTTTTCCTCCTAGACGAGCCTGGCACCAGTTCACCAGCCTCAATGGTATGTAGGAGCTTTCTCGGACGGATCTTGGTACCTGGATTAAGCTAGGCGACCGTTCATGATCACTGGATTAAAATTTTGAATCTAGGAGATTAAGGTGGAGACACGGACTGGAATATGATTATTCCCTTCTCGTAAATCTTTTGATTTGACCTGACTGAGATCTACATCACTGATTATCTTGAAGCAATGATATGACGGTTGCCCGGCACATCCGCTCAGGAGTTGTTAGAAACACGTTTTACGATAGCCTCGATGTCGTAACCATTATGTCTTCGTAGATAGCCCAATCTTCTAATGCAGTGAAGAACAAGAGCGTTTAAGTTTTGAGGCAACTGCTCATGAGTCTCCGCCCATTCTGCTTTCATGGAATGTGTTTCCGAAGCAGAATCATGTTAGACCTTCTCACATGAAAAAGATGACTGTTAAATTCTAGAGAAAAGTAAAATGTGCATCTGCATTCCAGGAGGACTGGATGAACCACACGATTAACGAGTTGATACATCCAGACGATCAGGATAAAATCCGAGATCAACTTTGTGGAAGTGAAGTGGCAATCAATAAAGTGCTTGATTTGAAAACAGGTAAATATTTGGTAAAACCCTTGAAGAGTCCTAGAGTAGCGGGAGCACTCGCGGGGGGGGGGGGAGGGGTAGCACCGAGTCACTAGTTTGACTTTACCCAATATACCAAATGCTTTCAACACATTTAGTAGGCATGATTTCCCTGAAATTCAAAATTTCAAAAATTTTCGATCACTTAATTGCTTTTTTCAAGGTACCGTCAAACGAGAAGGAGCTGCTTCACGAGTTCATATGACATGCCGGAGGGGCTTTATCTGTCGAATGCGACTTGGTCCATTGGAACCGCTCCATCGATTGCGGAACCGGCGGCCGCTTTTCCAACATGGAGGTAAATTATAAAAAAATATCAAATAAGCAAGGCTAGTGGTTCGCGTTAGACAGTCGTGCCGGAAGGAAATCGGTGTGATCTACACCGATGTACATCGATTGTCCGGCCGTGGCGCACCGCGACCGCGCGCATCGCACACTTACATCTGGAGGATGTAAAGTGAGACTCACAGTTAAGTTTCTCACATTTAGTACCTCATTGCTTCAGGTCACAATTATGTGGTTATGCATTGTACCGGTTATATAAAGAATACTCCACCTACTGGTATTGATGCACCGTCTTCGTCATGTCTGGTAGCTATTGCTCGACTTCAGGTGGGTAAATCATCAGGATTACTGCAAGAACATGCCGATGTCCTTAGACTTCAGTGAAAGTTTTCTGAGCGTGTTGTGCCCACCCTTTACCTCTAGACTTCTATATCGACAAGGCACTCAATACAGTCTAGCCCTTAGCGAATGATGAAGCGTGTCAGTGCTGCCACAGTTGGCCCGATGCCAAACCCGTTTTTCACCAGTGGTTGAAGCGAACAAGTGACAAGACTGTATCTTATCGTTCCTATCAATCGTTTCCCATAAATTCCAAACGCAGTCGCAGTGACACGCCCCATCATGCTTAGTGAACTAGACTGTAAATGATGTGAGTATTCCCGTTCATTGGTAGAGGGTTTAATCTAGGTCAGAACAGCCCCTGCGCGTCTTACACCTCCTTTGTTGTGGCACTTAAATGACTGTTCGTACTGTAAAACATTTTACAGGTAGCCTCCATGCCTTTGTGTGACCCTGCCGAGTTGACGAGGATTTCCATGCGAATCGCCGACGATGGTAAAATGACGTTCGTCGATGCTCGTGTCTCACAACTACTCGGCCTCACCCCTGATCAACTAGTCGGACGATTTTGGTGGCAAGTGGTGCATCCATCCGACGAGCAATCCCTGCACGAATCGTTTATTGCGATGATGACGTAAGCACTAATTCAAACTAATTGAGCTTTGAAGAATGTGTAATTCAATTCACAATATAAGGCTTATGTGGAACTACTTTCTATCGCTCCTATGGCTTTCACCTTAGGC